AAGGAATCTTGAGGCTTCTAGCATCAGGTCCAGACCAATAATTTAAAAAAAAATTGTCTAGAATGAGAGCATATTAAAAAACAACAACTGTATTTTCCTCTAGGCCTTTTCCTCTGCCCTTTTGAGTTAATGGATTTCTTACTATTCTTTCCCCAGTCTTGAGAGCTTTTCCTCTTTTACATAAAGATTCTGTCTGGCTGAGAATGGTTCCTGTTCTGCCAACTTAACCTTTACAAATCCTTTCTTCCTTTTCTGATAATGTCACTGCTACAATCTCTAGGGCCTTCAGCAGCTGAATTTTAAAGAAGTGACAGTTACCTCTTCAGTAAACCAAGGGGGAAATCATCACTAACTTCCCCTGTTCCTAATTAAAAAGGTTCTGAAACAGCATATTCAAAAAATAGAAAGCATCTTATTTTGCCTATGTCTTTGTTGCAATTAAACGGAGCAAAGATCCTGTCTGTTATATTTGTTACCAGAATCCAAACTAATAAAACATAACCTTCATCAAGAAATTCATCTTTTTTTTTTTAACACAGAAAAAAAATGACATGGGGAATTTGTTTCTGATAAATGACTGCAGTGGAAAAAAACATTAAGCATGACTAAAGGCAACTTAAATATTAACTGCTGCTTGTACAGGGTCTCAATAGGTAGAAAATAATTTTTCCTCATAAATTGTATGATTTCAGCTTTTGGTTTAAACATGAACTTGAACCGTTTGATTTGCATAACTAAGGGAACTGTGACACCACTGGAATCTTGCTTCAGTAATGCATGTTTCTGGCAGCATTCACACTGGATTACTACAATGTGGTCTAGATTATTCAGACACTTCAACTGGTACACATCTGATCATTTTTAGGGTGGACTTGAACTATGTGATATCTATATTATACCACCTGTATTGGCCACAAGTACATTTTCAAGTACAATTTACATTGTCAGTTTTGGTACTTAAAGCGCTATCTGGTTTGGATGCAGGTTATTGGAAGGTCCACCTTCATCAACACTAAGCTGCCTACACTCTATCGGTGCTGAAGATCTTGCCCACCTTTCAAAGCAAATAGCTTGGCAGGTATGATGGACCTTCTCAAAAGTAGCTTTTGGAACTCTCTTTCGAGTAATACCTTTTGAGTGATTGCTTTCAGGCCCATCATTACACCAAACATACCTATTTACCATAACGTTTAACTAATTTTAATAGGATGTTATCATTTTAGCAGCTTTAAATGTTGTTACACAGTGCTTTGGGTAGAAATATATATTTCTAAAATAGTGAAGAAAGTTATGTTCAGATGTTACTTTTCTTACAGGAGTAAAACTGGGAAGAGGGGTTGTTATTTCACATTTCATATTCTACTAATATACAAATGGAGTAGAGTTTTTCTTCAGTGTTACAAAACAGAAATATTTCTGAATGGGCTGCTCTGGTTGTTCTCATGATCATGTTTTCATTTTCTTACTCCAGGTTAACTTTTGTGCAGTTCAGAGAAATTATTATGAATTGGAAATAGAGTACTGTTACAGGATACGTATTTCATGCTATAGTATAACGTAATATCAGCAGCACGCAAAGATTTTGGGTGAAATTCAAGGATGCATGAGCAGATTTCTTTCTCTCCCTCTCTTATGTATGGTTAACAGCTGTTCTGTGAGCTAGGAGATACCTGGAGAATATGTTAAAGGTACATGGGGGCTACAGATAGGAAGGAGAATCTTCTTTCTCCCAGTTCTGTCAGCATAAACCTTTCTCATCAACACCACTGTTTTGTATATCATTTCTGATATAAGATTGTTATCTAGTTCAACTCAGAAGAATGGGTGTTCACATACACCAGGGACATTTAAGGTTCTATTTTAGGTTCTTTTCTATTACAGGACAAGACTATACTGGTATTACATAAGAATTCGTACCATTCTCTACTTTAGCGGCCTGTGAAGAGAGAATTCCTGTGTTAGAAGGCTGAAGTGAGATTTTATTGCTTCCTCTGGTCTACCAGATTTCTGACTAGATAGGATACATGACTAAGTCCTCCACACCCTATGACAGTATGGACAGGAGAGGTTTTCCAATGGTTCTTTGTGCAAGAACACCAATATTTTCCATGAATATATCTTATGACTAAGTGACTAAGAAATTTCAGTCTGGCTTTTGAAATAGACAATTATTATTGGTGTGGCCTTCACATTTTTGCAGTTTATCTCTGAAGTCAACAGCTTTTTTCCTGGATTATGATAATATGCAAGGCTATTCTTTTTTGATCAATAACATTATATGACAGAGTTTAGAGCTTTGAAATGTGCAAAGAAAGGTGTATTGGAAAGTAAATGTCTAAACAAGAGTATTAAACTGGAGGAATCTCCTTTCAGTTGACCTTGATCACTGGAGACTGTATGAACATTGTTTTCCTGGAAACATTACAGAAGTGAATTGCTCTTGCCTTCTTCAGGACATTTTTTCCTTCAAATTGCTGATTTAGCTTACAGCCTGAGTATTTCCCTGCTCTCCCATCTAAGTACTAAAGAGCGCTGATTTTGCTTTTTGAGAATCTGCCAAAGACAGATAAATGCTGCCACCTCGGACATTACCAATTAGTGAAAAAGGATTAAAGCACAAACTTGAGATGCCAATTTGCTTGAGTTAATTTAAATGCATATTTGCAAGTTTAAAAATTGGTGGCATTCATTTAAATAAAAGTATATCTAAGAATCTGCAGAATAATTTTCTCTCACCACCAAGTTACAGCCGCCTCCCTATATGTTCATACATTGCATTAAGCCACAGTTTGTTTTAACTTTGGTTTCTTGAACAAGCCACACATCACTGTCGTGATGGTGCCTATATATGGGTTCTTAAAGGTCTGAACAGACAATAGGCAATTATGTTTAAACAGAATGTCAATATTGTTATTAGTAATAATAGGAGCAATGTCACGAACCTAAAGCTAGAATCTCTTTTTCCCCTTCCTGTTATTGTGTACTGTACTTAACCTTTGACAAAAGTTATAATATTACATTTGCTGGGAGGGTCAAAGCAATTGTGTCTTTCTCTCTAAACTTTCATTGTCTGTCTCAAAAACAGAGAAGAGATCATGCTGAATAATAATGTAAACAAAGGCAAAGAAATACTGTGTGACGGGATTTCTGATCTGGCATGGGGAAATGTAATTCAGAAGAAGTCAGACAATGCTGCCAGGAGATGCAATCCTAGAAAAGAACTCAGACCAAATGAAGAAGTGTGAAACCAGAGCTTGGGAAAAAGGATCTCTGGAAAGCACCATCGCACATTACTGTGTGCGTGAAATGACATATTTGATAAGCCTGGATGAAGTGACTGTTTTTCTCATTGACAAAGCACTTGTAATAATTCCCTTTGTTGAGACACTTTGCATCTCCACAAGGTCCCATCTGGAAGTTCTGGTAACTCAAAAAGTTTCTACTGTGTGTTGACCCTGTACAGAAGCCTCTTCTGGTGCTTCCAGTAGATTAATAGAAGAGTGAGTCAGAAAGACTCCTGTACAAATACAGAACCTGCACAGAAACTTCTTCTGGCTCCTAATGTGAAGTGAAGCAATATAGCTCTTTCTTGGAGGAGGGGCCACTGTTTCACACAGCATCTTGAAAGGTGCTTCACATGAACCTTTATCATCACAAAATACCATTTTGAAGCTCTGAACAAACCTAATATTTGCCAAACAGAAGCCTAAGCAGTCCCTTCTCAGAGATGAACCACTTACAATATTTTTGTGTAACAGCTTATGAGCAGATATGTAGCAATACCTCTTCTGTTTCCTTTCCACTAGCAACTCTTTATAAGAAAGATGCTTTGATATTGCTTCTTCACTTTCCCCTATTATCTCCTTGCTGAGCAAGCTCCCCTTCACTCTGTAACTTAGTGTATGTCAAGACTTCATTGGGTTTCACTTAGGAGTCTCTTGGGCTCAGATCTAGAATACAGGTAGTCCTCATCTAGTGACCACAGTTGGGACAGACAACTCGGTCATTAAATGAAGTAGTCGCTAAGAGAAACCACGACTGTGCTTATGATCTTCCTTCAGCTTTCCTTTGGTTTACAGACCTGCGAAGGACATAAATACGAGGATTGGTTGTAAAGTTGCTTTTCCTCACCATCGTAATTACAAACAGTCACTAAACGAGGCAGTTGCTAAACAAGGACTACCTGTATGCAGGAGGTACCTCTGAGCAGATCTCAAGAACATTTCCTTCACTGGAACAAAAGTCCATGCAAAAAGGAAAAAAAAAACATATTGGCAAACCCAACATAAGATCGGCTGAACTTTATAACCAGGTTATTGAATGAAATGAGATTGTAACTGTTTAACCCTGTAGTACAGGGTTTGTAACTCAGGACTTATGCAGAAAATCAGGCTGGCTATTTGGAATGCAATATATTATTTACTTCTCAAAAGATATACACAGGATCACGTAAGCAATTACCATTCCTTTCTCTTCCCTTAGATTCTTTTTATTATTACAGCTTGTCATTTCATTTAGTGGACAACTTTAGCTGATAAAAGAAATAGTCTTGGTGAAATTACTTCTGAGTAATTTCACATGAGAGAATGGATATAAGCTGGTTTTACTAATGATGCTACATGGTTCTTTGAGTGGATCTGAAATTAAACTTGGACATAGATGTTGTATCTTTATAAACTGCCCATGTTCAATGCAATGCAATGCCCTCGATCAATCACTGATAGTTGCATAGATGACAGTTGATAGTCTTCTTCCCTATTTAAATTATTCAGATGTTTGTGGATTTCTACTGCCTTTCTAATAATTCTGGGAATTATCTGTTATATTGTACCACAGTATTGACATTCTCCGAATCTATTTTTCTAATTTTCCCTTTGTGACTAGTTTTCAGCCAAGACTGACTCTCCTAATATTGCTTTCATGTTTTTTAAGTCTGCATTTTGTGGCACATTTAGTTTGTCCAATGTAGCTGTCCACAAACTGTTCCCAAACATTTATCAGTATAAAATAATTTTTATACATTTATTTTGTGGTTTCATTCTGTATTCATGAGAACTTGCTTTTTCCAAAGATTTGGGGGAGACCAGAAGAAATGAAAAACATGTTATAATTACAGTACTGTCCTCCAGTAGTCTTCCCTTTCTTGAGAATTATCTAAGATTGACCATGACTAGGTCAGAAATGGAATATATAAGAGATAAGAAGAAGATAGAGGAGTTCTAGAAGAAGAAGAAGAAGAAGAAGAAGAAGAAGAAGAAGAAGAAGAAGAAGAAGAAGAAGAAGAAGAAGAAGAAGAAGAAGAAGAAGAAGAAGAGGAAAGAATTTAGTACATACCACTGTGGATGGCTTGTCCCGGTGAGTGTCTACAGCTTCAACATTCAGAGAAATCATTTCTAATTTACAGCCTTCATAAAATTGAAAATGTAAGGAACTTTATAATTAGGCATCATTATCGGAGCTAAAGTGTTATAATATCATCAGAGAAATGAAAAGCAATGTACATCAAGGAAAAAACCTGAAATACTTGAGTTCCATACTGAAGAGGGACTATGCCAAAGTAGGCAAGAGTTAGACATGGAAGACATAGATCTCACTGTAATTTTCTAATTAGTTTTTCCCCCACAAAATCACATTTAATTGAGCTTATCTTTGATTTATTTTATCATTTTTCATAAGGAAGAGTATTGAGATTTACAGTGGGAAACTGAGGTGGGGCTTAAAGCCACACATGTACTGAAACATACAGTAACATAACTGCACTGTTAATTATCTTTTATTAATTCAAGAAATAGAGGATACCCAATCTAATGAAACAAGTAATAAGCTAAATAGGTATTTGCATTACTGCTTCTCTCTCCCATGTTCCCACATAAATAAATAAATACTTACCATAAGCAACTGGTGTGAGCTTAAAGATGTTATGAAGAGGACATCTTAAATATGGCAATTCATCTAAGAGAAAGCAATAAAAGTTAAATAGATATGCTGGAAACGGCAATCTAAAATACACAGTATATTTCATGACATTCTCCATGCTGCTTTGATTCAGTGGGAAATTAATACATGTTAAGGAACAAACCTGCAGGCTCTGAAGAGTGACACACAGAGAACCTTAGAATTAGAACCGAGGTATAGAATACAGGCAATACAACTCACATATATTATATTCTCACATAATTTGAGTATTCTAAATATTCTGCTGTGCAGAAATTTAACAAATTCAACATGGAACTCAACCTAGTCACCATAAACTTGTTATATAATTTTGATTCTCTAATATTATATAAGGAAAGTTTCCTTCAAGTCAAGCTCAACTCATAGTACCTTCATGGACAAATTCAGATAGATTGCTGGTGACAATATGGAAGTGGTTTGCCATTGCCTTCTTTGGGATTATTTTTAAATTTCCTGGTGTCACCTACAGCCCTGGTATTTTCTAGAGGTCTCATACTGAAGCACTGATCAGGCCTGATCTGGACAACATTGGCCAGGAGGTACTACCTCTTAAGATGTTATATTGTAGTACATGGATCTTCTACATGGTAGCACAGTTTTCCTCAACTGGACATCCTCCAGATGCATGGGCATCCGTGTGTCTGTGTGTGTGTGTGTGTGTGTGTGTCAGTCAAAATTTACAAGAGGCATTGCATCATGATCACAGCTCTGACGTTGTCAATTATGCATGCGATATTGATGCACATTCAAAAGGGGCTGGGCTTTAGATAATGATGCCACACCTACCATCATGCAAATTTTGACACGCACACCTCACCCACAGAAGCCACCTAGCATGATAGCTAAGAATTCTGGAAATGTTAATCCAACATATCTAGACGATACCAGACTGGGGAAAATGAATGTAGCAAGCATATTAACACAATAATACTGAGTAATAGTTGAAGAACATAGCCAGAGAGAGAATAGAAATTAAAAACAAAACAAAATTGTAATAAATCCTGTCAAATAATTTCACCCTTGCTTTTACTGCACTTTTATTATATAATCACACCCTCACCTCCACGTATAAACATTACTGGCTCCAATATCAGAAAATGCCACTGAATGCACATAGGTATGTTTTGAAATGAGCCCATAATGTCAATAACTTTGGGGAGGATAGTCATATCTACTCTGGGAAATAATCAACAATAAGAAACTGAATCTATTCTTAGCAATTATGGCAGTCTGAAAAACTCTGGAGAATAAGAGGGAGAGTATGTGTGAATGTGAAGGCTGAGTTTCATCTGGACTAAAACAGGCTAGAAAGGGGAATCTCCCTTCCTTGTACACTGCAGTTCTGAATTAAACCCATTCTCATGGCTGCTATCAATATTGTTACTTATTAAACTGATGTAGTTACTAATTATGTATTTATGATCATATGTAGTTTGATTCTAAATTGTTTCCTATTAAGGGTGAGAAACCTCTTAGTACTTGAAGGCCATATAAAGTTTGGTTTTGCTAGATGAAGGCAATATAGAAGTGGTGGTTGGGGCTGTGATGTGAAAGTAGGTGGGGCCATGATAAAAAAGGAAGCAGGTCAGAAAATATAACATTAAAAACTCAGCATCTGAAGGGGAAAAAAAAAAAGCTCCCTCAAAGAGTTACTATTTGAGAAGCACCAAAGAAAAGAACTACAGGCTGAACTTTTATGGCAAGCCATGATGATCAGCTTCAGTGATGTGGATTGGAGGTCTAAAACCCAGAGAAGGCACTGTGTGAGCTACATTTGGACTGCTCCTAGATAATCACTGCCTTATTTTCCATAAACTGTAAAAAGAAAAAAAAATCACCTGCACTTTTATCAAGAAAATAGGCCAGTAGGCATCTCATAACTGCCTGGTGAGAAATAACTAGGACATTCTCTTGACGTTCCAGTTCCATAATTACAGGTTCCAAGCGCTGGACCAAGTCTTGATAAGACTAAAAAACAAGAAAAATGTTAATCAGGAAAAAGAAAGTTGTCCAACAAATGTGGTTTTCAAGAATCCAAATATTTTTCTAACCTAGCTGACTATTATATCAGTTATATCAATTATTATATCAATAGAAGAGAATTGATTATATTAGCTACTATATTATATCCTGGGTCTTCCTTAGAAAATTTAACATGGCTTATATGAATTATTATGATTTGGGGGAGGGGGCAAGATTTTTATAATCAAAAACTTCCTTATTCTTTATTAGCATCACTGTAACTCCCAGAAATCTGTATTGTGTATAATTTGAGGTAGGTCAGAAGGCTCTGATAACATTTCAAATTTCAAAATGTAACAATGTATTAAAAGTTAAGACTTTGAGGATAAGAATAAGAATTTCTGGAAGGAATCATGTGAGACCAAGACTTGCTATGTTTCTGCCCCAGAATGATAAAGCTTGTTTATTATGCCATTCCCCAGCCAGTTCAATGAGAGTTCTTTATTATAGTTCTTTTTTTATTATATTTAAGGATTATTGCTGTAAGGCATTGAATACCCTTCAAAATCTATAAAATGAAAGTGGTAATATTTAGTTTAATATAGCAATGATAAAAAAAAAGGCACTTCTCCTCCAGGATAGCGGTAAAGGTATTTCTCTTGATCTCGAAGTGCAAACTCTTCTGGATATTTTCTCTGAATCTCTTCATATGTCATTTCTTCACATACTCCCTAGAAAATTAGGAACTGAACTCAATTGAACTTAATTGAACTTAAACAGTTTTGTCTTTTTAAAGACTTAAGTTTCTCAAAACATGACAGCAGATATATTATACCAACTATTATTTCAGAACAAAGAGAGGCTTTACAACACTGTAAAGTACAGTATTGGTAAACAATGCTTAGTGACTGCAGCCATAACTGTCCTATTGAATTGGGATTTATTTTTGAATTTAAATTATGAATTAAAATTATATATGAAATTGTATGCAGATTATCATTATGGCAACCACATCACCACTATCCTGAGACCAGCGTTTAACTTTTCTGCCATTCTACTCACTGCATCGATTTCATTCAGTATCTTCCACTGCTCATACGGCACTCCCAGGGCTTCTGCTGTTTGGATTGTTCTTTTCAACTGGCTAGTCCAAACTTTCAGATCCATAATTTCTTGCTCTTTGATAAATCTCTTCAGTGCTTGAGCGAACTAGAAAACAATGCAGTATGATTAAGATTTCCCTTTCCATATTATGAAGTTGAGGACAACCACCTAGCTTTGGCACTGCTTATATTATCAGGGAAAATTGCTAAGGTGGCATTGGGAATAGAAATTTGGAAGCTGTAGATGATATTGGTCCCTCAGATAGCAAAACCTCTCCCCAAGTAATACACGGCTAAAATGTTATAATCACAAGGTTCAATACAGAATTTGGCATCTTTCTTGTATTGTACCCAATGGTTATATCCCTTTTTTGTTTCCAATTGCTCTGCTACAATCCCATCAATAATAGAAAGTTTTTTGATCCAAAAGAAGTTTCAATCAGTATACTATTCTGAAAGATTCTCCAAGGCCTCATACAATGGATTCTCTCTCTACAATGGACTGTATCAGGGCATAAAATAAACTTTCCATCAAGGAAAAGTAATTTGACTGCAATTCATTATCTAAAAAAACATATCAGAAAGTGGGTTATACAGACAGTTACATTTAATAATCTTTCTATTGTAAATGGTTCCATCCAACTTGCAGAGTTTCTGTGATAACTATGTATTCTGATTTACTAAAAAGTAGTGTAACATTTAGAATATTAGTCAGGGACCAAGGATTGGATTACTTTGAGTAATCATAATCTTTTAGGATAAAATGTCTAGGGATGACATTATATCACAGAGGAAATTTGAGATATAAATGCTTACCAAATCTTTTAACTTTTAAAAATTTTATTCATTTTATTTAAAATAAATTTTTATCTTGGGATAAAAATATTTTTAGTAATGTAAGGTGATGACATCTGCAGGTATTCTCAGAACACTATTTAGTACAGTAAACTGAACTATTCTTCCAGCAAGAATTAGTAAAGTATATTTAGAATCTAATGCCTATTGTTTTGACTACATATTTCTGCTTTTCAGCTGAACTGAAAATAAATGTGGGCAGAAAAATCTAAGTCTTAATTTAGCTGAAGTATGCAAATTCATGTAGCACCTGTCTGTAATTCCTTAAAGCAATGTGAGTGCAGGAAAACATGAGTTACGTTTAAGGAGTGGTTGACAACTAGAATGTGTGTGCTCTGAAGACCTTTTTGCCTTGAATCTGACACACAGTACAACCCTACAAAACATGCAGACTTCCCATGAATTAGATGATACCTGCTTTCCATGTTTTGACAGGCCCGAATCTCCACCTATCTTTCTAACAAGGTTGCATTCACTTTCTCCATGTCTACAGAGATAGATTGTGCGTGGCTGAATATGAATATTCATGAGATAATAGACAATTTTACTTTGGATGTAGTCCTGGACCCGGTTGACAAGAAAGCGCTGCCCAACATTGATAACTTTAATGAAAGAAAGGTCTCTGGAATTAAGAAAATACCATAAATTATTAGGCATCAAATCATGACACAATTATTCAGTGTATGTTTGTGTAACTAATGGAGAGTGCACCAAAAAAAAAAAAAAAAGGTGAAAGACTGATGTGTAGAACAGCTGAACTTGGTTATTTTAATATGAGAACCAGTTTCTAATTATATATTAATCCTGGGCAATACTTAGGATTCAGTCTCCAAAAGATGTTTCAGAGGTGCTGGAGGATGAATATAGCACTTGCCCACAGCACTGGAATTGCACAACAGCTGCAGAACGTAGTCGTGTGATCCTAGGAAAAGATGTTGCTGCTACTACACTTGCATTTCTCCTCCACTAGTCCAAAGCATCTTCTGGAGATCAAATCTGAAATGCAGATACACACACACACACACAACTCCAATGCAATATTTGTGAATCAGAAGTGGCCAGGTTCAGCTATAGTAGAAGGATATCTGGAAAGCAGAGTTAGAAAGTTAAAAGCTTATTTCTATGAAGTCGTGAGAAAGGGAAAAAAAGTTCACTATAATTTAGCACGTTTTCTCAGACATATTAGGATAGATCTAACTATTGAGATACTTTTAAAAGTATTCTAAATACTAAAAACATTTAATGTTTTTAAAAATATTTCTAAATATTGCCAAAAAGTAGAACTGATTCTTGGACCAGTCCCAAACCAAAACAGGATGTTATAAAACTTGATTGTTGTATTAGCGATTCTTTCTGTTCTTAATCATTAAGAAACAGTGGTTCTGGTAACTTGAACTTCCTCTTCCCTTGCATGCATAAAATCTCTGAACTCTCCGCTATTTGCTCCATTTTTTATAATATCCTTCCAGAAATCATGATATCCTCCCATCTGCAATTCTACTCCATTTTGATTCCAAACACATGCAGTAACTGTGATTCAAAGATGTGCCAATGGAATGAGGCGTGGTAGAAAGTGACTTTTCTTTCCCTGGCAACCTCACTGAGCAGTCTCTCCTGAAGTTTGGGGTACTCTTTTGGGGTGGATTAAGGCACAGGGAGTTTAGAACAAAAAAACCTAGGTGGAATATTCTGATTCCAGAATGATCTTCCATTTGAATTTCATCAGGTTATCTACCTTATTTTCCCCTACCACAGCCCAACCCCATTCAGGAAGAGGCTTTTCAGGGAGGCTC